ATAATTTGATATAACGATATTTTTAAAAAAAATTTCTATATGTCCCGACATATCGTTATATAGAGGTTTGACTGTATATAGAAGAATCCGTTAAAATAAAGTTTCGCGAAAGTGGATATAATTTAGCAGTAATTTCAGGTGGATTGACCAACATCTGCCAACCCAACTCGATGTTGCGATTAATAAACCATTTAAATAAAATTTAAGCATAATTGGATGGTGCTGGAACAACTTTGCGGGAAACCAAGTTTAAGTGACGTTTGCATATTGGGTCAAACGTTCTTGGGAAGCAATTTCGGACGAAATTATCATTAAATCCTTTAAAACATGTGGGCTATCAAAAGATTGAAGATGAAATTTTAGACATTATAAATGTCGATAGCAGTGGACAATGAAGGCATTGATGTGATGTTAATAGTGATGATTATGGTAGCAGTGATAGTGATGGCGATAGCGTTAATAATGGTGGCGATTAAATAAAATATATGAATTTTATTATTGTTAATTAAAATAATGTGACCGTGCTTATTTTTGGATACTAATAAAATATATATAGTACTTAATTTCGGAGGAATACGGTATATAATAATAATAACATATCAAATATAAAAATTCAATTGATGATTTTTACAAATTACAATTTAAGAAAGTATATAAATTAAACAATTTAGCTGATGAGGTCTTTAAATATTCATTAATACTTTTAATTGATCTAATAAAGTATTATCAACTCGACTTAAATAATTTTGTCTAAACATTTCTGACCCTCCATTAAGCGCTTCACACTCACCAATCTTTAAATTAATGAATTGAATTAGATTGGTAGTATGAATAGGATCCCGTTGTAAAAGCTATAATTGTAATAAAAAAAAAAACATCTGGTTGAGTTAATAACAATAAAAAATAAATTATATAAATAAACTTTTAATATATATTAAATATAACAACACATACAACTCGTTTTCGTTTAGTCTCAGGTGATGCATCGCTATCATCTATTTCATTCTTCCCTACATATTCTTCTTGCCAATAAACCAATGCACTGTAATATCAAAGCATAAACAATTTTAATAAAGCTTTCAACGCAAGTACAATAATAAAAATCTTTTTAACTTACTCTCCACCGCCGGATTCTTTAACTTCACTCAACACATCACACCAAACCCCAATAAATTGAGCTAATAAACTTAAAATAGTGGGATTTGTTGTAGAAATCAATGTCGCGAAAGCCATCGCACTTAATTTCCGTTGTTTAGGATGTCCAATATTATCAAACTAGCAATAATCATTAAAATATATTTTAAATATAACATTTTTCTACAATATACTAAAATTAAGTAATAACTGCTAATCACCTTATCTAACCATGTTTCCAAGACTTTCTCTAATAAATTTTGTTGTTGAATATTATATTGTTGACTGGCAATTGTGATGAAATGTAAAAAAAATCCTAGATCATTAATGATAATCCTAGCTAATATTGAGACATAACCTACAAGGACGTAAGGATTTTCCTTTTGTAAAATAATTTGAATAATTAAAAAAATGAATCACACTAAAATATCGAAGAGAAACAAAAAGATTAAATAACAATACCTCGTTGACCGAAAGTATGGAATTAAGCAGTTTTACAAGAAGTCCTGTGTTAATAATTGATTCTTTTAATAATTCAAAAGGACAAGCTTGCAAAGCAATGTCAATAACATGAATGATAGCACGACACGCTTCGGGTTTTAAATCTCCCAATAATTGAGTAAATGCGCTCATAATAGGAATTGCATATGACTGTTCTTAAAAGTTGATTAATTAAATGTGTTGGTTATAAATAAAATAAATAGCAATAAAGGGAGATAAAAAATTGCACCTGTACGATCATTTCAGGTACTAAAAGAATGTAACTCTCAATAATCCAAAGTACTTTTTTAAGTGTATCAGATCCAAATTCTAACAATCCAATAGCCATGGGAACAAGGTTAAATAATGATGGTGTACATTCAACGGTATTTTCAAGAATTGCCAACCAAAGGTCCAATCCATCTTCTAAAAGATATACGTGTTCTTCCTGAACAAATGAGCGAATGACGTCTTGCGAACATTGAAAAATAATCATTACATTATATTTAACATATGAAATTATAATTCAACTTACAGTGTTTGTACTAACGCTGTATTGAATTATTGGTATTATAAATTCATGAAGACTTATAGACTGTTCCCACAAGGCCTAATATATTAAAACATAAATTAAAATGGTAACAAATTTAAAAATCTTAACATTTAATTTACCTGCACAAGTTTTGTCAATATCACTAGAATAGCTGGTTTGAATAAATATTCATTTTGAGCTACTTGCCATAACGTTGGCAATAAGTTTGTAATCTTCTCAGAGAAGGGTGCAATCTAAAAAAAAAAAAAAAGACCATATTAATTTCTGATCTTAAATAGACAGCCGTTTCATACAATTGTTTACCAGTTGATCCATTCTCTCTACTATCAAAGATAAACAATTCAAAATCTTCATGCGGCTTTCGAATTGTTTTACCTCTCCAATTAAACGCGTTAATAAAGTGATTGCACGGTCAAGATATAGAACAAATCCGTCCGAATCAAAATCCCATTCGTCTACACGTACATCAGAAGTTAAGTATAATAATAAATTTGCAAAGGTAAATCTTTAATAATATCAAGGATATAACTCCTCAAGTTGATTGCAGCAGTCATTCTAACGACCAAATCCTCTTCCGGGTTTATTAAATATGACATAACGTCGTAAACTCGGGGTCGATTTTCTTTTGATAATTTAACACATACCCATCTTCCAATCACCCATGCAATGCGACGACGAATAATTTTGAAACTAAAGTTACAAAGAATGGCATTAATTACTTATTATAAAACTAATAAAACACTCATTATATAAATATTAAATACATAGTCATTCATTTTACCTTGGATCGTTATTCGCTGCTTCAATCAATAAATTATTAACAAGCCAAGAATCGAAATCAAGCACGTCGTATAATTCGTGAGAACCTAATCCCACTGCACAATAAATAGCATCTTTAACAAACAGATTGTTTGATTGAGATACTAGAAAATTTGAAATCGAAATCATCTAATTAGTTACACGACGGTAAAAAAAAATAATTTAAGTAAAATATCAAATTTGTTCAGAAAATGCCAAATGATGGCGGTTTAATCTTTGACATTAAAATGCCTAATAAGACCGTCGTGAATATGCTGTTTCATCATTATCCAATGTGCATAAGAAATTCAAAAAATAAACTTACTAGCTAAATGATTAAAAAATGAATCAAAAATAGAATCCTTTTTAAGATTAATCCATTAATCAATTAATCAATTAAATTATATTTAAGAAATATATAATATACATGCGGCATTTCCGAGCAATTCCAACATTTTTGATGATAAAAGATCACGATATTGTGTTATTAAATCTGTAAAGACCTTTTCAGCACAAGGCTAGATAGAACACAAAAAAACAAATTTAGATAAATAAATAATAAATGATACGATGAATGTGAATTATAAAAACGTACTCTTATATGATACTCCCAGTGGTCTGTCTCATCAAAATTAACCCAACCTTCTGGATCTTCTTCCCACATTATCAAATCTTCTTTCCTCAAAATTAGATAGCTTGAGATCAATAATTCGGCCAATGATTCGACAAAGCTCGGCGTCAGTATTTGTTCCTCTAAAATCTTAATTGCGTCGGAAAGACGTTCCTTACTTTCTATTCATAAATTATGATATTAAACAACCATGAAGATTATGTTTAAAATAAATATGCATATATATTTTATCACCTTTGATATCTTGATTATAACTAGACTTTCTTATGATGCCTTTTAATAGTAATAAGGCTTGAATCAAAATCTTTTCTGTACCATATTGTTGTTTTTCCATTTCTATAAAAAAATAAGAGTTGAAAAAGAATATATATATATAAAATGTTTAGACGAAAAGTTCTGCAAACCTGTTTCGTATGATTTACTATGTATAACAAGCAATTGCCAATAATACTTAATTACATCGCTAGATCCTGGAGTCATTATAAAAGAAACGGGACGCAATCTTTGTAATTCAACATAAAATTTCCCAATTAGGTTAACTTTGGAATCTAAAAGTTTAAAAATTGGGGATGATGTATCCTGAAACGAATTCCCTATAATTCGCATTCAAAAGAATATAAGGTAAACTATATTTTTTAACGAAAATCATTAAAGCAAAATTTGTAAATCTCGGTAAAAAAAATCTTACTTAAAGTATAAAACTTTTGTAAATGATCAAAAGCTAAAACAAAGAATGCCTATTACAGGGAAAAGTTATTCTCAGTAAATTTTCTATTGATAAACTATGATTATTATCAATCACCTTAGTCTCATCAACCCTGCTAATATCTTGAAAACCGTGAACAATTAAACGTCTAATAGATTTCAATGCAATTAATGATGTTTCTAAGTCCATTGCATTTCCAATATCATTGGAAGTTGAAATCATATTGAAGAACCGATTGGTATGCTCTACATAAATACTAGCAACATTACGAAGTAATTCTGGCGCGACCTTTTTAATTTACAAAATTTAAAAGAAAAATGTTAAAAGGAAAAATATTTATAAAAATAAAAAAGTAGAATAATAATAAAATAACCTGTTCAAAAATTTTCCTATCTGGTCCAAATGTTTTTGAGCATAATGCCTTCACTACTAAATGTAATGTTAATATTGCCCTCTTTTGTATTAAAGTTGAACGAGGATCTGCATTTACAGTTATCGTTGAATGAATTATAGATAGCAAATTTTGAAGCAGGTTCGGCCTTAAGTTTTTGTTTTGATAATATTGATTAAATGGGTATGTGATTTTAATAAAGAAAAATTTTAATATTTATCATTGATACATACCAATCGTTAGGAAAATCATAGCGGGCTACTTTAGAGACTAGAACGGCATTTTGAATTGCAAGCTAATAAGTCAAAAACGAATATTAGCTCGTGATACCTATAAATCAAATTGGATCGAATATATTTTGAGTCATTATCATACCTGATTATGACTTTCGTCCATAAAAGATAAAATTTGATTTCTAATCTTTGCCTTTTCTTCAGGGTTGATAGCGCTTGCAATATAAACATAAATCAATTAATATAAAACTTTAATCATGATCAAAGAATGAGATTTAATTACTCACTTTTTTGCAGTTTTACGCCAGTATTTATCTATGCCATTTTTGAAAAATATAACTCCAAAGAATCGGACATTAACATCAATAGTCTTGTCATTGATAATATCCTATAAACGAATTCCGTTTATGAATAATTGATAACGAAAAAAAGTAAATAATTTAATTTATCATTCACATACTAATAGTTTTGATCGAATCGATGTTTTCAGGTTCGAAATAAACAAATCAAAGAAATATAATTAATTAAATTAATAATCGTATATTAACGAAATTTTATTTTATATTGTATATAGAATTTTTGCTACACGAAATAAATTTTTAACCAGTCAAACATATGTGTATATCAAAAATATTTTCCAACAACTCTGCTGTAGCTAAATAACTTATGAAAGAAACTAAACCCTTTTATAGTTCCTTGCACGAGAATAAACTTTTGTTATAAACAAGTAGTTACAAGAGCCAAGAAACTTATAAAACTATACGTTCTAAGGAGTGTAACTTCCAACTCACCAGTAATGTAGAGTAAAATTCTGGAGCCACCTCCCACTGTTTAAGCTGTGTCTCAGCAACTTTTATTCGCTCCGGCTGTTGTGAAGCTGCTTCTGCTAAGGTTTGTAAAAGTTGTTCGCGAGGAGAAGACATTTGATTTTTTTTTGGCCAAGATATATTCTAAAAAAAATTTCATGAAATTAAAACTTTTGTATCACGTACCCAGGTGATTAGTTAATATAATCTAGGATTAAACATGTGTAACAAAAAAATTTTTTCAGGTGATGATATAAAAATAAACGTTTCTTTCATCTCTAATGATGATTATTAATCAATTCTATGTAATTTTTAATAATTATACAATATACAATATAAAATAAATATGCAAGACACATTATTTATTTAATTATATAAATATTTCAAGGTTTAAACTAAATTAGTTTAATTATTTTTTATAGTAGAAAATAATTTTTAAAATAATAATAATAATTATCATTACTTTAAAATAACATTTTATTTTGTCATAAATGCTGATATATCATAATAAAATAATCTGATTGCAGTTAACTCTCTATAAATCACTCTATATAAATACACATCCTTTATAAATGCATCTTTTAGCTTAATTCAAAGATGGAAAATTAATGCTAAATACATACTCTTTTCTATATACAATTATATAAAAATTTTTATATAAATTCATTCTCATAATGACTTTATATATTTTAATATTATAATACATAATAAATTTTTTTAGAGTTAATTATAAAGTAAATTTTCTAATAAAAGAGTTTTTCATATAGCAAATTATCTATAATACTATATTATATAATACACTAAGACAGGACCCTGAACTATACTAATATAACTCACATTTGAGTTTGTGTAGAGTTTATATGTAAACTTTGCCAAAAGTTGCTTATTTTACAAATTTACTTATTCTACATACCCAATTATCTCAATAACCAGTGATTCAATTTTAATGAATGAAATTTATACCATTGGATTCGTCTAATCGAGAGGAATCTAATGGTAGTAATTTCATCTTTCTAGCATTAATATTGACCGAGTTATACTATACAATATAATTTTAATTACGTGTTCATACTACATTTGTGAGTTCTATTAGTATAGTTCAGAATCCCACTATGACTATAATAACACAAGTATTTTATTTCAATTTATCTTATAATAAAGATTTTTTATACTTATGTAATATAAATTTTATATTTTATTATAAATACATATCTTGTATTAATGCATAATTTTATTCTATTTCAATGAAATGCATTTATAGAGAGTTAACTATATATTATTTAAGCTTTTTTTATTATTTTATATAAAAATTATCTAATTAAATTAGTTTAACCTAATTATATTTGTTTTTCTATTTCTTAATTTAATTTAATTAATCTTTTATTACAGTTAGGTGTTTTAAAATGAACAGTATTGATCATTCCTTTTATGATATAGAAATACCAATCAGTAGGCTTTAGATGCTTTTATATTTTAATAATCATTATGTATTATAAAAATAAAAAATAAAAAAAATTAACTATTTATGAAAAAAATTTTAATATCTATTTTAACTTAATTCTGAAATATCCAAATGCATTTATAGTTGCAATTATACCAAACATAAAGTAAAAGATTTAGAAATAAAAATTGTAAAAGTTAAAGTAAATTTTAATATTATTTTAATTATATTATTTTATTAAATTTAAAATATTTGCTGTATATATATATAAAACAATTGTATAACTGTAGAACAGCAAAATCATTAGTTATCAGTTTCATTATCCAAATTGAATAAGAACTAAGGTTGCTTATCTAAACTCATTTTGGATTTAGCAAAATGGTTAAACCTTTAGTTTCGCTAAATTTTTACTAAATGTTTGATATAGTTTCGCCATTTTTATAAGCTTTGATATAGTTTTACCTTTTTCCAAATTTCACAGATTTTTTAATAAGATTTTAATATAATTTAACCAAGTTTTACTTTTACCATTTAGACGTCTGTCTAAACTCTTGATTTCATCCAGTAACCTTAATAAGAACCTTACCTCTTCTAATATGATTAATAATTCATTACATATTTTAGACTTTATTTCACAATACATTTTTTGAATGTTTTCATTCATCTATTCAAAAAAAAGCTTCAATTTTACAAATGATTTTTACTTTAGTTATGTTTTTTCATCTTATTATATAATTTCTTTTTATTTGGCAATCAGAATTTGCCTAAATAAAAAAAATGGATTATTATTATAGAAAACTTTAATAATATATTTTTATTGAGTTTGTTTTGCTAAATCAGTAAAATTTGTTAACTATGTACTTAATTTATATTCTCTTTTTAAGCTTTTACAGATAGTCCTTGAATCAATTGAAATTTTTTCTTAAACAAGTTTGAAATCTCTGACATTCTATAATTAGTTCCAGATGTGTTTTTGAACTAATTGTTTGAGAGTCATTATATCTAATTGATTTAAAAAATTGTTCTGCAGCTAAATTTTTATCAGTTGTAAACTAAGTAAATTAAATGAACTTTAGTAAAAAAAGTATATACAGTATTTCATTATATATATGAATATATAAAGAATAGTACTAAAGATGAGATATAAAACCTAAACAAAGCAATTAATAAACAGCCGAAATGATATTAAATCATAGTGAAAGAGGTAAAGCTCTGAACGATTCAGATCAATTCAAAAATTTTTCAGATTGGTTCAATTTTTTTCAGTTTAGATTGTAAAAAAATAATCTGAAAATTTCGGATCAGTTTAGATTTTTTTAAATAATAATTTAATCCAAACCAAAAAAAATCTGAACTGAATAGATTCAATCTAAAAATTTTGGATTGATTTGAAGTATCAGTTAATAATAAACACCTTTGAATATTGGAGCATTTTTTATTAAGAAAATAACTGGTAAAAATCGTATTTGAATTATCAGAAGTGACTTTTAAAAATATAATAAAGTCAAATCTGAATTATCAGAAGTGACTTTTATTAGAAAAAAATACTAATAAAGTTGCTTATGACAGTTCAGATGCGACATTTATTATAAAAAAAATAGTCATACTGAACTGTCAGTACTAAGAAAATAATAATAACAGTCACTTCTAGACTGTCAGAGATAACTTTTATTATTATTATTTATAATAAAAGTCACCTGACAGTTCAGATGCTACTTTATTATCATATTTTATAATAAAAGTCACCTCTAACAGTTCGGATATAGCTTTATTATCATTTATTATCAGTTACTAAACATGTCGCATGTTGATAATAACAAATGACATTAATATAGAAGTTGATCATTTGATCGATAAAATTTTATATGATTTTATGCTTTTTTTACTTCGTGATATGTAAATTGTGTTACATTTCTAACCAAATTGAACAGTTATTATATCAAAATGTTCGTTGACTTCTTATGAAAATTTTTATAAATTTTTAAAAGTGAATGGTTCAGCCAGTTTAAGAAGATCTTGTTGGAAAAATCATCTATTATTTGATATATTTATTATATGAATAATCGAAAC